TGCTGAGCCTGTCCAGGTCAGCCTGGATCGCCCTCCTGTCCTCAGGTGTGGATGCTTTGCCCCAAAGTTTGGTGTCATCGGAGAACTTGGCCAGTCCGCTTCTGACCCCAATGTCCACATCATTAATGAAGATGTTGAATAGTATAGGTCCAAGGACAGAGCCTTGGGGGACCCCACTGGTCACAGGGCACCGTGACGATTGACTTCCATCGACCACCACCCTCTGGGTCTGACCACATTTTCTATATTGTTTAAATGGTCAGACAAATGAGGGTGAACAACATTATAATTCTAAAACCCCGGGTCACTGAAATTCACAGGGAAATCCATTAGAAAGGTAGATCCTAGCCTAGGTTTTTCTACAAGGGCTGCTTGTGTCATGTCTGCTCTTATTTTTCCAGAGTTCAGATTGAAAGGGAGAAGCAATGATCCTCCTGAAGTTTTCCCCCCTCCCCATAATCCAAACCTCACTCACCTGGGAGGCCAAAATGAAATTCTGCTCAAAATAGATCTCACTACTACGAACCCCGCTCTTCCTTTCTCTTTTCTCTGTTCATTAGTGACGCAGTTAGCAAAGCAAACAGTGCTGTGTCACCATCGTTAGGCTTCAGGTTCAACAGCCTCTCAAAATAAACATAGCAATACCCTAGAGCAAAAAAAACCCCCAACCAAATAGCAAAATAGCAATACCTTTTTTACAGCCTCTGTTTCAGGCTGTCTTACAAAGTAAGGCAATCAGCCTTGAATCTTTTTCCACTGAGTCTGAATTGTTGATGCTTCCCATATAAGGGTTAAGTTACACTTAGACCCTTCTGAATGTGTGGAAGGTTACGTGGCGTTCAGGTGAGAGCGTGCTGTGAGCAGTCGCGTGGGGTTAATACTATTTCTTGCCTGTACTGTTCTGACTTGCCCATAGCGGGCTGGCAAGCAGGGGCATGGCTAGGAGCCAGGACGCCTTGGCTCTATCCCTGCTCTGGGTGGGGATGGGGACTTGTAGTGGTGCATCCTGGGATTCTGGATGAATACATATTGCTCGTTTTATCTCCTTGTAGCCACCTAAGGTTATTCTAGCATGAGCTAGGTAGCACAGCCGAGTCAGCCTTCCTCTGAAGTGAGATACCCAGCGGGCACTTAGCACGAGTTAATGAACTTTAATGTGCAAACAGTTCATTTTAAATGTCCTTAGTATGGTCTAAGTGTAATGTGTAACTTCACCCTTAATAATCATATGTGTTAGTGAGCTGGGCGCGGCGCTTTCAGTGGAGAAGTTCGGCACTCACTATGAAAATTTCAGCCTTGATTCACCTCGGGTGCCTATCCATGTGCTCCAGCATGTTCTAATTAGATTAATCAAGTCTGCTGGAGCAATTGGATTTGAGCTCTCCAGCATACGGCAGTGTCGCATGTACTCAGCATCCCACATTTCACAATGACCGCAGGGGCACTTTAACTGAAACTCATTAAATGAG